ATACACATGTCTAAAATATTAAATCGATTTTTTTCCCAGGAAATTTTTAAAATTTTTTTATTTTAGGTACTCTTGGAAGACAAGGGAATCCTAATATTTTATATCATCTAAAGGTAAATCCTTTGTTTGTTATAATAAAATTATTGGGATTATTGGTAATAGGCTTACAGTACTTTATCACAAAAATATAATTCATTTTTTTCTCAAATTCAAAATGTCCCGAGTCCAAAATTTTGTGTTGTAAATCACCGGATGAAAGGGTTCAATCAATCAATCAATCAATCAAATCATTTTCAAATTAAACAAAGTAAAACATAGAAATATTATTGAAATTACTGGAGCAGGNGGCAAAGCTCCCCATGTTGTCCTTTTTGAAATTTTTTTTTGAATATTAAAACGATTGAAGACGCGCAAAATTACACATGATGACAAATATATAATAATGGTGTGGTTTGATTTATTTAGAAAATCAAAGATTTTACAATTAGTGAATTTTAGAAGAATTTAGAAATTTAGAAAAAGATGTAAAAATTGGATGACATCAATCATATTTCAATAGCTACGATTTTAAAACTAATTATATTGAATTTAAAATATTCATTTCTCTTAAAAATTTCAGTTCATAGGATATCGATATCAAACGTTTTAGATTAGTGCTATTTGACCCATAACGTTTTGACCTCTTGTTATACTTCCTAATTTAATAGGGAAGTAGCATGTTACGGGAGTTTTGAGAGGATGTTTTTTAAGAAGTTTAAACCCCTGAAGTTTCTTAATAATAAACTTGGTCTATATCTTCGGCCCTTTAGTCCTTGATTATTTATAGTTAGCAAACTGTGAATTTCTTGTGTATTTTTTGTATTTTTCCCGCGGATTTCAACTTCTTTGTGAATTGAAGGAAGACGATATTTGACACTACGTATAATGTTTAGGCCAAGTGTGAGAAGGCTGGGAAGGAAGTTGTAACTATTCTTCTATCAGAAATATTTCCACAGAAGCTGAGTTTAATGCCGGAAGTAGGGGCCTGGATTCAGGTAAGGGGCTGAGGCTTTAAGTTTTATAATTTTTAAATAGTGCTTCCTTATTGGAACCTCCAGTTTAACAAAAGATCAAAACTTTAATTTGCGTATTTTCTCATCCTCTAGTTTCCCCTAAACACCCTCCCCCCCAGAAAAGTTGTATATCGGCTAAAACCTAAAATTTGTTCAGATAGCCTGTCCCCGGCTGTCGATAGACTGGGGTCTAGCGTTTAAATCTCCAATATTATCTCCTTATGAGGCTGCAGTAGCTCTTGAAGAGATACCCTGGCAGGTACATATTGATTGATTGGCATTGGTTAAAATGAATGATTGATTGATTGGTTACTGAATGAGTGTTTGATTGATTGATTTATTACTGATTAATTGATAATTGATTGATTTAATTGATTTACAGAATTATTATTGATTGATAGATGAATTGATAAACTAATTGGTAAAATACATGGATTTGCAACATCGTGATCGATTGCTATTCTGAAGCTTTAGTTAACAATTGAGTTATTTTGTAATTCTGTTTGATTGATTGATTGATAAATGGAATTTCTCTTATTTATTTAGAAAGAAGTTCACTGATTGATTGATTATTAATTATCTCATATTTATTTCTCATATTTATTTAAAATTAGATTTACTGCTTGATTGATTGAATCTCTCCTATTTATTTAGAAAGAGTTTTACAGATTCATTGATTGATTTATTTTCTAATATTTATTTAGAGAGAGGTTTACTTATTGATTGATTGATTCTCTCATATTTTATTTAGATAGAGGTTTATCCGATGGATTTCTACGCCAACGAAAGTCTGGGACCCTGGACACCAAACCATAAACCTGTCATTGATATTCTCAACCCTAAACCTCAGGGATAAATCTAAATATTTATCTTATTTTATACCGCCATTTTAATTTTTCATCATCTTGTTCAAAACCTCTATTTTAAATGTTCTCTGTCTTGTTCTATACCGTCATTCTATTTTTCTCCATTTTGTTTTAAACCGCCATTTTTTTTCTTGTTCAAAACCTCCATTTTGATTTTTATTTGTCTTATAAACCGGTATTTTCTCCGTTTTGTCTAAAATTTTAAATCGTCATTTTGTTTTTTTCGTAAAAGCAAATCTGAAACGGGGATGTTAAAGATTTATTTGTGGCAGGAGAAAGTGTGTTGCGGAAATAAAGATTGCGACAAAAAGAAATATTAGAAATGTTATTTTATGAATTATTATCTATTTTTTATATACATAACAAAATTCCTTTCTACTTTCAGAATAATTATGTGATACAAATTGTGATATAAAAAAGATTAATAAGGTAAGGATGAATCAAGTAAACAAATGTACACTATCATAGTTATGTAGTATGTACAGAGGAACCGTACTGCAATGTTTTGGTTGAGCCATGAAACACGACGGCTTAAAATCTGTCTTGGAGTTTTAAAACAATTTTCGACATTCCTTTGATCGATCTTATTTAACAAGTATGAATATCTTTAATCAAAAAATGAATCGCCAAAAATCGGATCCAATTGAGCGCCGGCTCAGATCTCAAAACACTGAATACAATTTCAAGAAGAACCAACTTTGTTTGAGCCGCGTCTCAAATACTTAGTTTAAATTCGGCCTCGGATATTAAGAATATTGTTCAGATTTCAATTATTTTAACAAATGATTGTCGCAAATAATTTCAAAGATGAACGCGATCTTAAAGTTGGCTATTAGTCTTTTGTTAGAATGTTGGAGGGGCTGGTCACCTGGTTCCTCAACAACTACTTAGGGAAGTATCTGGAGAATGTGGATACTCATCAGCTGTCCATTAGTTTATTGCAGGTATTTGTTAGGGTGTTCGTTTGTTTGTTTATTGATTATTCCTTCATTTGTTCATTTTTGCATTTATTTATTCGTTCATTTAAGTTCATTTGTTTATTAGCAAATTTTTTCGTTTTTTCATAGGTTCATTTGTTCATTATTCATTCACTCATTTGTTCGTTTATTCGTTCATTCGTTCATCCGTTCATTCGTTCATCCTTCCTTTTGTTCGTCCATCCATTTGTTTATCCGTTCATTCGTTCATCCGTTCATTTGTTCATATGTTTATTTGTTCATATGTGCATTTGCTCATATGTTCATTCGTTCATATTTTAATTTGTTCATATGTTCATTCGTTCATATGTTCATTCGTTCAGATGTTCATTCGTTCATATGTTCATTAGTTTATATGTTCATTCGTTCATATTTTTATTCGCTCATATGTTCATTCATTCTTTCGTTCATCCATTCATTTGTTCATATGTTCATTCGTTCATATGTTTATCCTTCCTTCTATCCTATACAACCATACTTCCTTCCTTCTATCCGTTCAAATGTTCATCCGTTCATTCATATGCAAATTTATCTATTTAGGGTGAGGTTGATCTACAGAATGTTCCCTTCAGAAAAGATGCCCTCCGCTTTATTGAACCGAGTCTTGAGGTAATATTTTCCCCCTTCTTCCCTAACTTTTCTTTCTCCCCCCCCACCNCTAAAAATTCTCAGAAAAATTCACTTGATTTATTTTATTAGATATTTACTAATTATATTTAATTGTTTTACGCTTTTTCAGGTAAAAAGTGGGATAGTTGGACATATAAAGCTTACTATTCCAGTCTCGAGGCTTAGGTCAGTTCGTTCCTTTACTCTTAACTGTAAGTGTAATTTCAAGTGACCCTTCATGCAAAGAGGACAATGCCCGATTCATAATCTTATAATTTTAAAGTATGGTTTCTTTTTAAAGTGACATTTTTTTGCGGGAAAACATATAGAAATAAACAGAATTGAACAATTTAAAGCTAGAAAAACGACAATATCTTTCACATATCAAATAAAGTTGTCAAGGGTACCGTTTTCCATCTTTGAATGGAGGTTCACTTGAAAGTACGCTTAGAGTCCCTTTAAGTATATATTTATTAGTCATTTATTATTCACGTATTCATTTTTTATCAATTAATTCAATCATATTTATTGATTCTTTTATTCACGTTTTAATGTATTTTTGCTACTTAATTTCCAATTGACACCGATATTTCCGATTGACGCCGATATCTCCGATTATCGCCGATTGACGCCGATATCTCCGATTGACACCGATATCTCCGATTGACACCGATATCTCCTATTAACAACGATGTCTCTGATTGACACCAATATCTCCTATTGACACAGATATTTCCGATTGACACCAATATTTCCGATGCCACCGATAGCTCCGATTGACACCGATCTTTCCGATTGACACCGATATTTTCGATTGACACTGATATCTTTGATTGACACCGATATATCCGATTGACACCAATATTTCCGATTGCCACTGATATCTCCGATTGACACCGATATTTCCGATTGACACCGATATTTTCGATTGACACTGATATCTTTCATTGACACCAATATTTCTGATTTACACCAATATTTCGGATTGCCACTGATATCTCCGATTGACACCGATATTTCCGATTGACAAAGATTGACACCAATATCTCCGCTTGACACCGATATCTCTGATTGATACCGATTTCTCCAATTGACACCAATATTTTCGATTGACACCCATATCTCCGATTGACACCCATATTTCCGGTTGACACCAATATTTCCGATTGACACCAATATTTCCGATTGACACCGATATCTCCGATTGACACCGATATCTTCGATTGACACCGTGCTACTTCATAGACAACTATGCAAGCATGGTGTCAGTCAGTTCCACTATTGGGAAACCAATTTTGAGGTTTATACAATAATCTCTGCACAGAAACATCGGATGGAAATGAGAATAGTTCAATCAATCAGTATTTTGATACTAATTCTACCTTAAAATATAACTTAAAGAAATACTTAATATTTATTCTACGCTCAAATGGTATCCATCTCTCTATCTATCCATCTATCCATCTATCCATCTATCCATCTATCCATCCATCCATCTATCCATCTATTCATCCTTTCATCTATCCATCTATCCATCTATTCATCTATCCATCTATCTAGGTCCAGGTTGAGAGTAAGCTCCAGGTCCTGGATGGTATAGAATCTGACTGGAGAGCTGCTCATGAGAGTCCCTCCTCCTCCTCCTACTATCCTGCATACTCATCCTGGATAAACTTCGGGGAGTCATACATAGGGACCATACTAGAGAACCTGCAGGTATAGAAGAAAAATCCAAGAAAAATGGATAATGAAAATAAAAAACAATTTCCTAGTTTAAAAGATATACTGCTTTTGTATGGGCTGTCAGTCTAATTATACTAATTATATCAGATTTATTCTCAGTTAAGTGTAAATTTAGATAGAAAGTTGATTTTTGATATAGGGGGGGGGGATCCAGGCAGAATTTTCATAGAGTTATCAGTTTACTTTTACTTTTGTTAAGATCCATATCCGTGATGTTCATGTTCGATATGAAGACGACATTTCCCAACCCGGTCACGTGCATGCAGCAGGGTTTATCCTTAAATCCCTCGGTAAGCGTAACCTTTTTTTCAAAATTCAATCTTTACTTATTATTTTTTTTGTAAATTTGGTCTGGCAAACTTTTAGTGTTTCCCGAGCATTTTTTTTGTACATTTGGTCTGGCAAACTTTTAGTGTTTCCAGAGCATTTTTTTGTACATTTTGATCTGGCAAACTTTTAGTGTTCCCCAAGCATTTTTTTGTACATTTTGGTCTGGCAAACTTTTAGTGTTTCCCGAGCATTTTTTTGTACATTTTGATCTGGCAAACTTTTAGTGTTTCCCGAGCATTTTTTTGTACATTTTGGTCTGGCAAACTTTTAGTGTTCCCCAAGCATTTTTTTGTATATTTTGATCTGGCAAACTTTTAGTGTTCCCCAAGCATTTTTTTGTACATTTTGATCTGGCAAACTTTTTGTGTTCCCCAAGCATTTTTTTTGTACATTTTGGTCTGGCAAACTTTTAGTGTTTCCAGAGGATTTTTTTGTTGAAATAATTTAAAGAAATTCAGTTACAGTGGATCTGAACGGGACTATAAGCGTAATTTCAAGTGACCCTCCATGCAAAGATGGCAATGTCCGATTCACAATGGTACCCTCAAAAGCGTTGTCTGGTCAAATATGAATTAGACATCAATGATTCTGAATTTTCTCTACAAGAGTTACTTGCGCATTTCTACTGCTGAAAGTTATATAGAAATTGTTAGAATTAAACACTTTGAAACCTAGAAAAACAACAATATCTTTCATATTATTGATCAGATAAAGGTTTCAAGGGTACCGTTGTGAGTCGGGCATTGCCATCTTTGCATAGGGGGTTACTTGAAATTATGTTTACAGTCCCTTAAATTATTGGTAAAAATACAGAAAGCTTTGCACCGGGTCAAGTGGTGGTCTTGTCTTCAATTATAATTATTTTTTACTATTGTAACTTAAAAATAACAAAATCAGCAGTCTTAATGTAAATAGAATTAAAATATTATCTTTTATTTGGCAATTGAATAAATTTGCTTTGTTTGGCTCATTGTTATTGCTTGAACAATATTACAATTTAAAGTGTTATTTACTTGAGGTCGGAGTTAATGAGTAGCTGAATTAGGAAGATAGTTGAACCTAGTACCCGCTCACATTGAACTACCTGGGTAGTTCGTTGAACAAGTCATTATTTTTCGAATAAATTAAATCTTTATTTGGGAGAATTTTTTGCGAGTCACCCTAATTGTATCTTATGTCTTATAATGTGACAAACTTTGTTTATCCTTTTCAAAGAAATGCCTGAAAGCTCAAAGACCCTCTGCTCTGTCCCCTGTAGATCCAGTCGATCATGAGCATCAGCTACACTAACTGTAAACCATGCTAGAAAATCTGCTTACTGACTACAATTAATTTAGTTGCGCAAACTTGTGATGAAACGTGGTCACCGCGCTTCGTGCACAGGGATCCTGCACAGGTTAATGGAATTACTGATTGATTGATTGGTTGATTGATTGATTGAATTATTGATTGAATTGTTGACTTGTTAATTGTTTGATTTTATGATTAATTGTTTTATTAATTATCTGGTTGATTGATTGATTGATTAATTAATTGAACGATAGATTAAATGATTGGGTGATCGGTTGAATTGTTGATTGATTGACTTTTTAATCGGGTGATTTCATGATTGATTGTTTGATTGGTCATTTTCGATTTTTCGATTTATTGATTGATTGATTGCATTACAGGGACAGATGGAAGCATTCAAGATTGTTGAGATGGTGGATATGTGTGCTTACTTGGATACAGACACCAATACCTGGGATATTAAGTAGATTTATCATCCTTCTTTATTTATATATTTATATATTTATTTATTTGGTGGATATGTGTTCTTATTTGAATACAGACACNCTCAAACAATTTCTTTTCTAATCATTAAATCTTGTTATCATGATGTTTTAGTCCTTTAATATATCAAAATACTGCTAGAACTAAAAGCCTTAGCTAAAAACAGTAGGTTGCTAAGATATAGATATAAACAAGTTTGAGGTCGAGGCAAGTGTTCCCTAAATAATTGGTTTGTTTGATTACTATTCTTTATGGTTTGTTTGATTACTATTCTTTATGGTTTGTTCTGATTTTTAAAGACTTAACTTTTGTGCTATTTCTTGTTCTTGTAAGTTTGTAACTTTATTTGTTGTGTATAGTCGTAAGGTTGGATTTTATTTGTTGTGTTTAGTCGTAAGTTTCGATTTTATTTGTTGTGTTTAGTCGTAAGGTTGGATTTTATTTGTTGTGTTTAGTCGTAAGTTTCGATTTTATTTGTTGTGTTTAGTCGTAAGGTTCAATTTTATTTGTTGTGTTTAGTCGTAAGGTTGGATTTTATTTGTTGTGTTAAGTCGTAAGGTTGGATTTTATTTGATGTGTTTAGTCATAAGTTTCGATTTTATCTGTTGTGTTTAGTCGTAAGGTTCAATTTTATTTGTTGTGTTTAGTCGTAAGGTTGGATTTTATTTGTTGTGTTTAGTCGTAAGTTTCGATTTTATTTGTTGTGTTTAGTCGTAAGGTTCAATTTTATTTGTTGTGTTTAGTCGTAAGGTTGGATTTTATTTGTTGTGTTTAGTCGTAAGTTTCGATTTTATTTGTTGTGTTTAGTCGTAAGGTTCAATTTTATTTGTTGTGTTTAGTCGTAAGGTTGGATTTTATTTGTTGTGTTCAGTCGTAAGGTTGGATTTTATTTGTTGTGTTTAGTCATAAGTTTCGATTTTATTTGTTGTATTTAGTCATAAGGTTCAATTTTATTTGTTGTGTTTAGTCGTAAGGTTGGATTTTATTTGTTGTGTTTAGTCGTAAGTTTGGATTTTATTTGTTGTGTTAAGTCGTAAGGTTGGATTTTATTTGTTGTGCTTAGTCGTAAGGTTGGATTTTATTTGTTGTGTTTATTCGTAAGATTGGATTTTATTTGTTGTGTTCAGTCGTAAGGTTGGATTTTATTCGTTGTGTTCAGTCGTAAGGTTGGGAGGATTTTATTTGTTGTGTTCAGTCGTAAGGTTGGGAGGATTGTTGGAAACCTTCAGCTTAACACAATATCCGTCCAGCTTTCAGATATACAGTACCAGAGGATAATAGGTACAATAATAATAATGATAATAATGATGATAATGATAATTATGATAATAATGATAATAATAATGATAATAATGATAATGATGATAATAATGATAATAATGATAATGATAATAATAATGATAATGATAATGTAATGATCAACGTTATTCTATTGATTACAATTACAGACATTCATCTGAGGGGGGTCTGTATTGACTGTGAATTTGTATAATTTAAGAAACTTTGATGAATATTTTATCCCAAGAGTTGATAATGAATCTTTACAACGATTTCCTTTCTTTGATTTGCCTAAATGCTGGAACAGTTTAGCTCTAAATAATCCTGAAATATCAAGTATTACTAATAAACTTTCTTTCAAATCTACGATTAAAAATCATTTCTGTCAAAGAGTGAAAATTTTATTTGCAACAAACTGTTTTGTTGGTTCTTCTCTAGTTGATCGTTATTTTTAACTGCATACTCATAATTTTTCTTGTATTCTACGACAATGGATTTTTAAGTCAAGCAATTTGCAGTTTTTAAATCCTTCTTATAAAAATCGGTGCTCTGGCATTGCTTTTTTGGAAAAAGGTATTGTTAAGCGGTGGACCTTTAACTTTTGCAAATTTTTTTTGCAGCGCAAAAAAATAGAAATGCAATAGTTCCTGGCGCCTCTGTTTCTGTTTTCTGCCTACTGTCTCAAATCAAGAACCAAATGTTAATTGAGCAAATCTGACCCTGTTCCTCCACCTTTTCCAAACCCAGTCCCTCAACGTATCACATCAGTTCAGTTCTAATTAACACCACGGTAAACTGCCAGGAAACCAACCTGAAAACAGCCCTGCTATGGCTGCTCTCCTTCCGTTGAGAATTAATAAAAATCATATATGCTCAGTTTTATGCTCAATCTGTAATATTTTCAACGGAAAAATAAATGATTAGATTAGATTAGATATATGAAGAGCTGTCTGTAAAGATCATCGTCTCCTGTCCCTAAGTTATATTGGTTGCTTCTACAACAGATATGTGGAGAGCTGTCTGTAAAGAAGAGCATCTCCTGCATCAAGATCATCTTGTTCTTCTTCAGCAGAGCTGTCTGTAAAAAGCAGCGCCCCCAGTATCTGCTCCTGGAGTCCTAAGTCTGAATGGATCCTCTAGTTGCTCCAGATATTTGAAGAGCTGTCTGTAAAGATCAGCGTCTCTAATGTAAGGATGAGGCAGCATCTGATATTTTGGGTATCCTAGTTCTCCTCTGTAGCCAGGATATCCTAATAGTTCAGACAGGCTGGTACGAGAGCAATTGGTCAAGTTCTAGAGCTACAGGAGATGAATCTCTTGATGAGGTCTACAAACGATTATGGTGAACCCTTGTGGTTGTCTCTCCTAAATCAACTGGAGAGTAAAGAGAGTCCTCTGATATCCTTAGTGATGTAGAGGTTTGTCTCTCCTAATTCAGCTGGGGAGTAAAGAGAGTCCTCTGATATCCTCAGTGAGGTGGAGGTTTGTCTCTCCTAAATCAGCTGGAGAGTAAAGAGAGTCCTCTGATATCCTCAGTGATGTGGAGTTAAATGGTTACTCCCTTTTTTGGGAAAGTAAATGATTTCCGGGAGAATTAAATGAGCTTTTGGGTAAATATATTCAAAAAGGGGACAAAATTGCCAGTTTATGTCCTTTTTTTACTACCCCCCTCCCCCTCTCAAATTTTTGGAAGTCTTTAGAACCCTTGATCGGTAAAATTTAATTTTAATGTTTACTTTTATATTCAAAATTAATTGTTGATTCTGTATTAGAATAATTTATATATCTAAGATGGCGCCCAAATGTCCATGTGACTGAAAATCCTCGTAAATGGTGGAAATACGCAATTACTTGTTCTCTTCATTCCATCAGAAGGAAAAGGTAGGAAAACTGGTTTCTTACATTAAAATTTATATTATTACTAATATTAAAGGATCTAACCTTGTACTCAATAGTCAATGATAACATAATTAATTTTGGTCGACTGATTGATTGATTGATTGATTTAGTGATTGATTGAATTTGAAATTGATTGATTGATCGAATGTTGCTTGTTCTAGAGAAAGGAGTACACTGTTAAGTCTGGTATCATTAGCAAAGGACAATGTGATGTATGTGGAGGCGTTCATGAACCACCTGGAGAACCCGGCATCACAACCTGAACTTCTCAAGGTATAAAGTAACAATATTAAAGGGACTGTAAGTGTAGAAGTAACTTCAATTGACTTACCAGGTCTTAACCCTATTCCTGCTGGGGGGGGGGGTCAATTTGACCCCCCCCCTGTAGTTTTTTTTACATAACTCAAAAAGTATTGGTCTGAGGCTGTTGAATTTTCTGACTTTTCCTACATGCCCAAAGCCTTCCCTTTAGGCCTAAAACCGGGCTTTAATACTAACTGCCTGAGTCCTCAGGCACACTGCCTGAATGACTGCTTTTTCCTGTAACAAACTAAATCTTTGTTTTGACCCACTTCCACTTGTCAGATTTTGATAAAATTTAGCTTTTTGAAAAGCCTTTGACATAAGAAAACGAATTGAACAAGTTTTGCGAAAAAAAATTGCTAATATTTTGCAAACAACCTGTCAAAGGAAATTTGCACATTTTTAGTTTTTCTTGATTAAAAATCAGGTTATTTAAAATTTTGCAAAATTTTTTGCATATTTGAATTGGCATGGTTAAGGGCTTTTTGCAGATTCTAAAAGTAGAGCACAAGAGCTTTTCAATGATGTATCATTTGTCATATTTGGACATTAAACATGGATTTAGAGGGGGGGGGGGTCAACTTGACCCCCCCCCCAGCATATCCTGGTTTTGAAGTACCCCAGCAGAGATAGGGTTAAGGTGCATGTTCAATTCACAATTGAACCATATTTCCCGTTCTAGAATTCTTAAAATTAAGGATATTTTATGTAGAACGTGGTTTTAAAAATTTGAATGAAAATGTTCATTTTGAATGAATTTTGGAACATAGATGATAATCTTTTTTAAATATTAAACGCTTGCAATGCATACATAGATCACACTATGCGCGTTCTTGATCAGACAAAAGTTTAAAGGGCACTGTTGTAAATCTACAGTTAAGAAGGTCATTTAAAGTTAAATGTACAGTCTCTTTACATGTTTGTTTTCTTCTCTAATTCGTTTTTATTTTTTGATTTTGTACATGGCATAGGATTTTGGGTTTCAGTGAATGTATATTAAAAGAATTATAAAATATATTCTAGTTGACATTTATTGAGTAGATTGCAATGTCTTATCACTTCTGAATTTCAGCATTATGAAAAGTATGATTTATGACAATACACAGACATTTATAGACATTTATTTACATAGATAAATTTTTGCATAGTTAGAACACTTTTATATTGACATATGGACCTCCGTCTTTTGAATTTTAACCATATTTAATTTTATTTTTTATAAGATTGTAAAGGATCATCAAGATCAGATTCGGTCTTACGAAGAACTGAAAGCACTCAGAGAAATTGCTGTTATCAGGTAATATTCAAATAAAAACTTAATTAAAAAAAATCTGATAATTCTGCAAACTTTTTGTTACAAAATTTGTTAAAATTAATTGATCACTATACAAATGAGTAAACAACATCATATAAAGCAATAAATCATTTGAGATGTATATGAATACTTTTCTCCAGATTGAAGCGAAAGCTTGGGGAAACAACCCCGGGTTTTCTAAGTAAAAGTCCCTCTGGATCTGAAGTTGCAGAGTCCAAGGAGGCCCCTGAGGCCCCCTCTGTATTGCAGCAATGGTTCCCTCTGTACGGAGGCTGGTATGGTACACATGAAGAGGACCAGAGTCTACCTAAGGTAGACATTTTACATTGTTTTTAAAGTGATTGAGTAAATGCCAAATCGAATGGATGATTGATTTAGGTGATAATTTGAAATAAATTAATGACTAACTAGCCATTTATATGCTTAATTGCTTGATTGAAAGATTTTATGATTGCTCAATTGACTGATTGAAAAATTTAATGATTGCTTAATTGGTTGATTGAAAGATTTACTGATTGATTAATTGATTGATAAAGGTTGAGGAGTTCCTTCAGTCCTTGAAGTCCATGCGGGAGGAGTCTGAAGTGAAATCACACAAAGATGTTGTTTTCAGTCATCTAGAGGTTCATCTTGATCAAGGATCTCTTCGCCTGCTCCAACAGGGTGCCAGCCTGTTAGACTTTCAGTTCAGGTTTGGTTGATAAACTCGTATTCAGCATAAAGTTTTCTTAGTTTTAAATTGGGGTGAAATTATTTGTTGCATATTCCTTGTTCATAAGATTGCATCAATGCATAGTATGTATGCCTCCAAAACTGGAAGGAGAGCTTGTCTTTAGGACATTATTGTTATTCCACAAAGGTCTTTATAGGGCACTTCTAAGTTCCTGCATGGATAGCTATTAGCCAAGCAGGGTGGTATAATGTTAAGTTTCCTACTGGGTTAATGGAAACGTTATCCCTGGAAATGTTAGATTGGAGAGGAGCGCCGACTCCTACCTCATTGAAACCCTTGTTAACCTTAAGTAATAGCAATAGTAATGTCTGAAGCAGATATGTTTATGAGATTGATTTTTGTTTATTAAAGTGGAGTAAAGCTTGAGCATGAGAGCAGGCCAAGGGTTGGTGGGCAGATGCTTGGACTAACAGTTGGCTCTATTCTTCTCAGGTAACTTATTAACTCCTTGTCCTCTATAATCCTATGTCATTTTCATTGTTTAAGTCTGAAACTTAGCCAAGTCGATTATTAGCAATGGTTTATCTTCTTCCCAGAGCTCGTCTGGGCTAAGGTGGTAAGCTTACCATAGCAGTTGCATATATGAAATCCTTATCATTCAATATAAGCTTTGAATCCTATGCATGTTATTTGAACATTAAAGTATTGCCTGAATCTCTGGAACTCATTTACATACCATGCAAACTGTCAGTGGAATTCTCTTGTGGTGTAATCAGCTAGGTTTGGAATAAACCTTTTTTTAGTTTTAAAATGTTGTACTTGCATATTATTTACTTATTATGAATACATGAGTAATCATATTGTTAAAACTGTTTTTATCTGTTCTGGCAATGTGAGGCTGCCGGTCTGATAAATACATTGCCAACAATTCTGTCTTATTAACAAATTGCCAACACTACGGTCTGATCAACACATCTCCAATAACATTGTCACTGATATTCACATTGCAAACAATTTTGGATTTTTGGGGATTAACATTTAAGAGTTAAAACACTTTGGGTGATTTAGGGCCGTAGAAATGATTAGAACTGTTATAAACTTAAAATGCCATCTAGGGACCAAGTTACAAAGGGCTCTTTGTTCCCTCTCTTGATCTCCCCCTTGGAGATGTGTTAAATCATACTCCATTCTGCTTTGGGAAGGAGGGGTCAGGAGGATAACCATGTGGGGCAAGAGTTTAGAGTCCGAGAGTCCAGAGGGTCAGAGTCCAGAAGCCCAGAGTCAGGGAGGTCCAGCAGAGTGACCTGATTCTGAAGGGGACCAGAGTCCAGTGCCAAGTGTCCAGAGAATTCAAATCTGCCAGTCGCAGAACCAGTCCTCAAATCCCTCCAGAGAGACCAGAGTGGAGAGAGGCCAGACCAGTCATATCAGATCTGTAACTCATGGCTTTTAATTTTTTTGAAAATCCTTATTTTTAGACTGCAGGAAGCTAAGTTGAGAACTCAGGAGGAATTCACAAGGAACCTGAACCAGATGCTAGCAGGCTCTACACTAGATAAGAAGGTTGGGATACCTCAACTCTTAAAGGGACTTCAAGCGTAATTTAAATTGACCCTTCATGCAAAGATGACAAGTGTACCCTTTGTCTCGTCAAGTATGAATTAGAACTTGTGTATTTCTTGTATGGAGGGTCACTTAAAAGTATGCTCTATAACTAAAGATTTAGAAAAAATATATTTTTTAAATATGAAAATGACATTAAGCAAACTGCTACACCGTTCTAGAAGATGTATTATTATTTCAAACGGGATCTTTGACCTCAATTCTTAACATTGTCGCTGATATTCACATTGCAAACAATTTTGGCTCTTTGGGGATTAAAATTCAAGAGTTAAAACACTTTGGGTGATTGAGGGCCGGTGATATGATTAGAACTGTTATAAACTTAAAATGCCATCTAGGGACCAAGTTACAAAGGGCTCTTTGTTCCCTCTATTGATCTCCCCCCAGACAAATCAGGAGTCCCCTCTCTACTACAAACCTTCACACGTCAGGTATATTATTATTTTTGAAGGGATTTTCATTTCATGTAGTAAAACGCACTATTTTATAATAAGAAATTAATAAACTATTCCCCCCCCCCATTCATGCAAATGTTAACATATCCAAATTTTAAGGTTTACAGACCTAGCAAAGTCTTTGCAGAGCTATCTTCCACAGAGTTTAGGGGGTACTACAACAGACCAGGTGGGTTCTATGTATGATAATTTTTTCTCTATGCCTTATTTCAGCATAATATCTATTACTCACATGAGAAAATTACCAAAAATTGATCAGATATCCAGTTGGGTGTAGTTCTATAGATAAAGCAGTTATTGAAGATGGTGATAACAGAAATAATTTAGGTGAAACAACCTTTACTTGATCTTCTTCTTGAGAGGAAACCTTTTTTCTCACAGGCAGATTACAGAGTACATGTCAGGTGAAGATCATTGATCTGTTGATCGATTTGTTAGATTATTTGTTGAATAAGTGCTTGCCATTTAATTGGATAATTGGATGGTTGATCAAATTTCCCATTGATACTCTCCTCATTGATTTGTTGAAACTACTATTGATTTATTTTGATTTAAAGCCAGAGAATTATTATTTAACTGATTGATTAATTGATATTAATGCTTAGAAGTGCACCCTTGGATATAGTTTTAAACCCTGCTGTTGTCCGAAGCGTTGTTGAATTCTTCCGCCTTCCGGAGGATATCAATCAGAGTTCTGTTCTTAGTGATAGAATCAAAGCTGCAGCATTTACCAGGTATGTACTTCAAATATCTTGGTCATTATATTAATTTTATGTAGAATTGAAAAAAATGGTTTGATTAATGCTTTTTTGAGTGACGCGGCTGGATTTTTAAAATCACACTTTAAAGGCCCTAAATGTACCATTAAAAAAGTAGTTTTGCCCGGAAGAGTCAAATATGGTAGTACAGAAGAGGAAATAGTGGTGGCTCATGGCTGCCGGAAGGGAAAAAAGTTAATATGTGGCTCGGAAGAGGAAATAGTGGTGGCTCATGGCCGCCAGCCTTCCCCCGCTCGCAAGGGTAGGTCATTAGAGAATTTATTTACTATACAAAAATTCATTCTGGATTACACTGGGAACTTGGTTTCGGTGGTTGAAAATTGGTTTATCGGTCTGTTTACATTCAATTTAATTAGGCTTACCTAACCTTGGGTTTGGGATGTAATTTTAGATCTATCAGCTCTCTAGTTTTTTTATCTAGAATAACTGCTAAGAATAGGTTGCATGCAATATATGATCTATCAGCTTTAAAGTATTCACTGACAACTGATTAGGTTTGGGATGTAATGTTAGATCTATCAGCTCCCAAATTACTGATTCCTGATCAGTTTGATGATAAACAGGTAACTAAAACAACAGCAAATAACATCAAATAACACCAAACACAACCAAACACTACTAAACAATAACAAACAACAACAAACAACAACAAACAATAAAAAACACTGAACCGCATCAAACAATATTAAGTAACACCAAATATCAAGAAATACAACAACAGACAAACGACAGTCAGCATTAACAAGGAACAAAAACAAACCGCACACAACAGCAAACAACAGCAATTAACAAAAAATACAAAATACAACAAAATACAACAAAATACAACAAAATACAACAAAATACAACAAAATACAACGAACATAAAAAAACTCATCGAAGAACAACTTAAATTACAACAAATATCTTCTAAAGTCACCAAACGTCATCATACTCCAACAAACAAAATAAAATGATAATATAAAAATTAAAATAAATGTCTAGGCTGCTTTGGTTGTTATTGATTTCGGAAAGTTTCAATTGAATAATCAGGTTGGATCGGAGAACCAAGAGGCAGGAAACAAGGCAAGGAATCCAAGTTTTGAATTTTTTTTTCTTAGAAGAATTTTTTGGAAAATTATTTTTTCAACTATTTCTGAAGTATGTTCATTAAACGTAACAATAATATAAAACTTTTGTCTTCTTATAGAATTCTTTTTCGCCAATCCTTTTTTTTTTAATTCAGTGCCATTTGGAGAAAAAAAAAATTTGAGATCTAAAAGGCAATTTTTTCATACTTTCATACTTTTTACCCACATCATTTATTTACTTCAGTTAAGCGAATAAAAGCCTTAAAATGCATTCCCAACTTCAGGTTTTTCAGGTTGTAAATGATTTTTCAAAAAATATTAAAACACCACTCGCGTTGCAGGAGGCACAACGGTGGCCGGGTGTTGCCATATTTCAATCTTGTTCTTAACTTTGAGTCGGAAATGTGGGAAGTTGGGAGTCCATTATGCTCTGATTGATTGATTTTTCTACATTTTTTTATTTTACAAAAAATCTCGTTTAACTGGCAATTTCTTAAGTATTTTCAATAAACTGAAAAACAATAAAATTGTTTGCCTTCCTTTTATTTTTTTAACCTAGTTATCGTTAAAAAACATTATTTTATGTCATCTTGTAAAGTAATAAAAAGTAACAACACTTCCTTGTTACAGGAGGAACAGCGGCGGGGCGGTAGCGTCTTAGGCAATGACGACGATGAAGACGATGACGAGTTTTTAACACCGGCCAGCAGTCCGGAACCGGAACTAGAACCAGAAGAGATCAAAACTAGACCAGAATCAGACCAATACACGAGGAACAAAGACATTTGACGAAACTTCTTTAGTCATAAAAAAAATAAACATTTAAGAGTCATTTAAATTGAATTTGAATTAAAGGGGCTGTAAGCGTTTTTTCAAGTGATCCCCGATGCAAAGCTGGCAATGCCCGAATCACAACTCTTGATACATTTACCTGATTAATAATGTGGAAGAAATGGTCGTTTTTCTAGGTTTAAAAGTGATTAATTCAAATAGTTTTCCTGCAATAGAAATGCTCAAGCCACCTTTGTAAGGAAACCACAATTGAAAATAATCAGTTTTTAAAACTATTAGCATTGATAACTGATTCATGCTTGATCAGACAAAGCTGTCAAGGGACTGTTGTTAATCGACGCATTGCCACCATGGCATAGAGGGGCACTTGACATTACGCTTACAGTTCCTTTATTATACAAGGACAAGTATTTAAGGAAATTAAATGGTTCAGATTATTCCATTATTATGATTTTGTTTGGAAATGAATGTCAATACATTTAACAATGAACTAGGAAGACGAAATGTAAGCAATCTTATGTATACCGTATCCTGTTTATTTCGTAATTAGTTTTACCACTGGCTTATTAAGTGAAATGGGTCCTATACACCACACAATTGATGTGTTTCATGTTAATTTGAATATTTCTGTCTATCCATCCATTATGAATCCCCAATAACACAAGTGTTACCAAGTAACCACCCCTCCCCGCAACCCAGTGCCCCCTTCCGGGGTGCATATAAAATCATAACCTGAGTCAACAGTCGATCGTAATCCTATTCCACACTTTTTGGGTCACACTGTATGAAAAGAAATACAACAATGCAATGGTTTGATATAGTGAACTGAGTGAGGAAGAAAGGAAACAGAAGTTGAGCCGTATGCTTCCCCAATCAGATTCAGGTTTGGATACATTTTTAAACATCCATTTTTAAGGGACTGCCAGCGTAATTGCAACAGATCCTACATTGAAGGATGGCAATGTTAATTTCACAACGGTACACTCGATCGAAAGCTTTGTCTGATCAAGTACAACCTGAAAGAACGACATCATCTTCAATATTATTTATCAGATAAATGTTTTAAGGGTACCGTTGTGAATCGGGGGCATTAACATTTTAACATGGAACTCAAAATTATGGTTGGAGTCCCCTTTAACATTATTCACAGTTTTCTGCAGTATCAATAAACATTTCAAAAGTGTAAAAATTTTGTACATTGAACTGCAGAAACTATGTACACTGTTCAGGTGGAGCAGATGTTGAAAGTTGCCAAACATTGTTGTACAACAAGATGTACGATAGATTTACTGTTGAGTTCAAGGACATTCAGATTATCATTGCTAAAGTAAGATTATTTATCTATTATTCTTTTATTATTTAAATTTTCTTTTCCTTCATTTATTTATTTTATTGATTTTTTATTATTGATTTGTTTGTTTTTTTGTTATTTAACCTATCATTCATCCATATTTTATTTATCTGTCGTAAACATTTATTCATTCATTATTTCATCCTTTGATCCATCTTTCCACTCGTTCATTCATTCATTCATTCATTCATTCATTCATCCTTTTATTTATTCATTTATTTATTCATTCATTCATCCTTTAAGCCATTAATTCACTATTCAAGTTTTCCTGAAATATTTTGTTTATATTAAATTTTTTAAGGTAAAAGATAATTGGGTTGGAGCACATGCTAAGGGAAACTCAGGACTCCATCTAGTGGACAGATTCTCAATCAATCTTCACCTTCACCGCCGGTATGTTTCAAGCTCTACTTAAAGGAAAATCATCTTCTCAAATAATGTTTCTTTAGTTGAAATGCTCTTACTAAAGCAGATTTAATTAACCTTTCATGGAATAGAAACTTTCTACATTTCGCTTGATCTCGATATCTACTGTGAACACTTTTCTGCTTAACCTTCTCTTTTTGGATACCCCTGCTGGTTTCCGACAAAAAAAATTCTCTCATTGATTCCGCGCAAAATTTCCCTGCTGTTGGGATTCTTCAAACTACACTCGATGATTGGTTGAATTTTAGACACTTTACTGGATATTCATGATATTTAGAACTGTTGATACTGTGGATCCTGCCTGGCCAAGCGTTGTCGTCTCAGGAAACCTTCCTCGTCTTAGGTATACAGTGAACATATGTACACTTTACAGGTCATTAAGTACACATTTACACCACAGGGGTCATATAGTACACAGTAATCGTATGTACACTTTACAGGTCATTAAGTACACATTTACACCACAGAGGGTCATATAGTACACAGTAAACATATGTACACTTTACAGGTCATTAAGTACACATTTACACCAGGGTCATATAGTACACAGTAAGCATATGCACACTACAATGTTGTGCAGTTCATAAAGTACACATTTACACTACGGGGGTCATACAATGCACAGTATAAATATGTAAACTGCACTGGTCATAACGTACATGTCTATTTACACTACATTCAGTTCACAGTAAACACATGTACAATTTACAGGTAACAAAGTACACATTTACACTAGAAGAGTAATACAATAAATATATGTATAATGGTCATTAGTCACAGGTCATAAAGTGCACATTTACACTAGAGGGGTTAAACAATAAATATATGTACATTTACAGTGGTTACTGTACACTGTACACTACTCAGTATACTGAACCTGTATAAATATGTACTCTGTGACTGTAGGTCAAAAAGGTTAATTGTACAGTGTACATTGTGCATTACAGGTAAAAAGATCGAAAATATTAAAATGTGATCTGTACAGATATAAACACTCGCCTCGACATAAATTAAAAATATGCACTCGACTGCCTAAAGTATTTTAATCATGATGTAAAGTATGTAAAATATAATTAGGAACCTAAAATACTGAATTTAAATAAGAATGAGACTTCAGAGACGACTGTGCCTAATTTATACTGTTGGTTTCCTTATAAGCATAATTCAGTGCAAACTTCTTTGGATTTTTTTCAAGGCAGAAAACTTATTTGAGCTTTTGGATCGTCATATTTAAAAGCTTAGGTCGTCTTTACAGTTTCATGCTTTGTGGGGAACCCTGTATATACGGTGTAATATTTATCTACGTATCATATTTCTCCACATTTCGACATTATTTAAATTTCCACATTTTATTTAGTTGTTACTGCTCAATACAAATTAGATTATCTATTTTTGCAACCTTTTACATTTCTAACCTAGACAACTAAATCATTCAGCATTTATAGATTGAAATATCAATGGTCTACGGGTTGCAAAGATATAGGGATTAGAAAATCAGAGTTTGTGGTAAAAACTGAAATCATACGATCTATGCGAATACAACTATATATTAGAATACAACTATATCTAATTTTTAAATCTTTATTTTCTGTTTCCAGGGTTCATTTTAACGAGGAGAAGATGTTGACTGTCAAATATTTCCTGGAGAAGATGATCGGACCTGAGCTCACCGGCAAGGTAAAATTGAAGGGACTGCTCCCGGTATTTTATGTGAAGAGTTGCACCATGCCCATCTTCGTCTAAGCTAATTTGTTCGAGTTTTCTGTAGATTTATGCAGCAGAGTCATTTACAGATTTTTCCAATTTCACTTACTTTACAAACTTTACACTTTTTCAACTTTCACTTTACAGCTTTACACTTTTCAACTTTTACTTTACAAACTTTTCACTTTTTCAAATTTCACTTTACAGCTTTACACTTTTTCAAATTTCACTTTACAGCTTTACACTTTTCAACTTTCACTTTACAAACTTTACACTTTTTCAAATTTCACTTTACAGCTTTACACTTTTCAACTTTCACTTTACAACTTTACACTTTTTCAACTTTCACTTTACAAACTTTACACTTTTTCAAATTTCACTTTACAACTTTACACTTTTTCAAATTTCACTTTACAGCTTTACACTTTTCAACTTTCACTTTACAACTACACTTTTTCAACTTTCACTTTACAACTTTCACTTTACAACTTTACACTTTTTCAACTTTCACTTTACAACTTTCACTTTACAACTTTACACTTTTTCAACTTTCACTTTACGCTTTACACTTTTCAACTTTCACTTTACAACTTTACACTTTTTCATCTTTCACTTTACAACTTTACACTTTTTCAACTTTCACTTTACAACTTTCACTTTACAACTTTAAAACTTAACACTTTTTCAACTTTCACTTTACAACTTAACTTTACACTTTACACTTTTTCAACACAGAAAGTGTTAAATTGCCCTTCCACTTCCACTTAAAGAGGAACATCCCCAACTCACATAAAAAGTTGCGGGAAACAATGTTGCTGAAATAAACAATGGAAATAAAAAATTTGTTTAAAAGGCCCAAATATCTGACAAAATGTCGCTGTTTAAGTCTTAAGTTTTGGATTCCCGGGACTTTTTTGTGAATATAATACCCTGGGACTGCCAATAAAGTTTCAGTTAATAAGATCACAGGAATCAATGTCCTGAAGAAAATATTTCCGAGGAAAACATATTCAGGAAAGGAATTGAATTTTTGCCTCAAACTTAAATTTTCTAATCTCTACATCTGTGCAACTTGATGCTGTAAACCTTTAATAAATGTGGAGAAACACGATTCCTCTCAAGACCTTTCATTTTGAGGAATTTTTACTAAATGATTTCCTTAGAAGTTTGATTGTTTTCAACAATTTTTTCAGCAAACTTTCTTTGTGGTTACAAACTCGAACAACATATAATTGCATTAGACATGAACGCCGGACGGGTTCTTAAATCGTTAATTTTTTACCGTGCAGTATTTTTAACAGTGCAGCCAGCTGTCAGAATCAAATATCTCCATGATGTATCTACTATTTAAAAAAAATAGTTTTTGGAATATAGTCCTAAATTTTGGCACTTAAAAAAGTCCTGTTAAAAAAGTCCTTGAAATAAAAAGTCTTTGGACATAAAGTCCTACCATTGTGAGACTTTTTTTCTGGTTCCAGTATGATTTTATACAAAAACACCCTGGATATATTCAATATGCAGGTGCATAGAGGAAAAATCCGTTTTATGAAAACGTCTCAGATTTTTCCTCATTTTCACAAGACTTAGAACTTTAGGTTTTTTATATTTTCTTCAGGACTTTAATTCCTGTGATCTATATCCTGAGACTTTTTTGGCAGCCTCCATACTATTTTAGGGAAAAAAGTAACATGAATATAAAACTCAGGACTTCATTTCCAATAACATTTTGTCCTAGGACTTCAGAAAATTTTTTACTTTTATTTCCAGGTTTTTCCGGGGACTTTCTTACATAGATTTATTTAACGTAAGAGTAAATTTAATTTTTCACACTGCCTTTCTCTGTCTAAATGACATGTTTTTGTTTTACCATGGTGTAGTTTTATTTCTCTATTTTAATCTCAAATGAATAATGAGTGTTGACTAGGGTTTCCAACGCAAGTGGATTTGATTTACTTGTGCGCAATAATAATTATGAGCCCTGTAAACTTCGCACAATTCCGCGCAATTTCGCGCAACGGAACGCCAATTGGAAACCCTAGTATTAACTGTTAGAGAGCTGATATGAATATGTATAAAATGAAAATAAATTATTTAGAAGGTCGGCGGGAGCAGCAGTAGAAACTTGAAAAATCCTTCTCCGCCTCCAACACCAGACGGAGAGGGGGCGGAGGGAGGCGGAGACACTCGTTCCGTGAGTCCGGAACCCCTGGCCCTGTTCCAAGGCTGGGAACCAGGCGAGGGCGTGGATCTTGAGTCCCGCCTTCTCCTGGCTCAATTTCTAGTTTCTGATCTAGCTCTAGATATTCAATCCCAGGTTAGTGGTAAACCATGCAGTACACTTTGAAGTACACTTTGCAGTACACTTTGTAGTACACTTTGCAGTACACTTTGCAGTACACTTTGTAGTACACTTTGCAGTACACTTTGCAGTACACTTTGAAGTACACTTTGCAGTACACTTTGTAGTACACTTTGCAGTACACTTTGTAGTACACTTTGCAGTACACTTTGCTGTACATTTTGCTGTACACTTTGAAATACACTTTGAAGTACACTTTGCTGTACACTTTTCAGTACACGTTTCAGTACTCGTTTCAGTACACGTTTCAGTACACGTTGCAGTACACGTTGCAGTACACGTTGCAGTACACTTTGCAGTACAGTACACGTTGCAGTACACATTGCAGTACTTATAGTAGACAGTAAAATTTATTTATACTATGCTTATCTTCTTTTTTAATTGTGAACATGTTCTCTTCGTGTACACTTTTTACATACATCAGGCAGTACACTGTATACCGCAGGCAGTACACTTTATACATATAGCAGGCAGTACACTTTTTACATACAGCAGGCAGTACACTTTATATATACAGCAGGCAGTACACTTTATATATACAGCAGGCAGTACACTTTATATATACAGCAGGCAGTACACTTTATATAAATACAGCAGGCAGTACAGTTTTTACATACAGCAGGTAGTACACTTCATACATACAGCAGGCAGTACACTTTATATATGTGTAGGTATAAATGATAGATCGTATATACTCAGAATCAAAAACACGCCTGTTGCACTCCCGGCCATACCGGAGAAGAATCCAACTATCCGAATATGGTTTAACTACTTTTTGGTGGTCGTTATTTCTGACCTTTGGAGGCTTAAATGACTAGACTGATTATTGATGATGTGTTTAGGGTATACCTGTGGTAGAACTGCAGCTGACCAGCCTAAAGGCGGGGATCACCAGGCGACCCTTCGATATGAACTTTAATCTTTCAGTTCAGGTATTCAGTCATTCATCTATTTGTCTATTCATTTATTCATTTAATGGATTTGTTATTTATTCATTAATTTATTTCATTCATTCATTTATTTATTCATTCATTAATTTGTTTCTTCATTTAATCATTCATTAACTCATTATTAATTTATTTGTCTGTTCATTTATTCATTTAATGAATTATTTATTTTTTCATTTATTTTTTTATTCATTCATTTGTTTAATCATTTAATCATTTATTTATTTAGTCATTCATTCATTATTCATTCCATCATTTACTTATTCATCCTATCATTTACTTATTTATTCATCATTCATTCATTCATTCATTTATTCACCTATATATTTATATATCTATCTATTCTATATATCTCTCTAGTCCCTTCTACTGGTGGATGCCCTGCAGTCCCTGGGTCCCGACTACGAGCTGTTGGTCGCCTCACACAAGCACGTCATGGTCGACAGTGTCAGTGGATCCCTAAAAGGTAATTTTTTATAAAAAAAGATTGTTAGATTTTTTTAATCACAGATGTTTATTTATATTTAAGATGGAGTTAATTTCACAATAAAAGGTCCCCTCCCCCAGACTGGCAATGAGCCAGACTTATTTCTATAATGTCATGGTTGCCCCCTGTTCTTAAATCCAAGATTTGGCTTAAAAACAGCAATTTGTTTTTAATGTTCTTAATTTTAGGGGGGGGGGGAGAACAGTTCTTAAACTTTGTAAATGTTCTTAAATTTTTTTTCACCTAAAATTTGTTTTTTCAACATTTTCATGTGAATACTTATAAAACAAGAAAAAGTAAAAATTAATCATACTAAGAGTTTTATGAGTAATTGCCCCCCAAGGCTCTGAATGAATGGAAGCTGTTGATTTTACAACATTTTTCTTTTTTAAGCCTTACACCCTATACTAATATCAATTATATTTTAACTGTGCAGTACTGTACAATATTATGATAAACAACTTTAGTATTTTTTAGGTTATTTAGGTTAAACATATATTATATAAACATATATTCTCTACAAAAATACAGATATTGAACTTTCAAAGAAAATATTCAAATATTTTATGTATGAAGTAAATGTTTTTTACAAAAGAGAATTTTTTCATTTTTTTCAATTTTTGTGGGATTTAAAAAATGTTTTTAAAAATCTTAAATTTTTTCACGATATAAAAAATATTGTTCTTAATTTAGGAAAATTTTCTTAATTTTGTTCGCAAAATTTGTTTGAAAAATCTTAGATTTAAAAACAGCGTTCTTGATTTTTTTTGGGGTATGGGGCAACTATGAATGTGTGTTCCAAAATCTTAAAAAATTGGGCAACCAGTGGTACTAGCAGATTAGTTTACAGAAATCTGATTGGGGGAATCAGCTACTGTTCTTTTATTTATATTTATTAATTACGTGCCTAGGTTCTGAGCCTGTATCTCCTGGTTCTCCTGGTTCCCCTGGTTCTCCTGATCCCTTCTCCACCATCTCCCCCAACCATCTTGATATCACTAGAGCTCTCTCCAATCTATCCAGTCCCGCCCACTACCCCGGCTCCCCGCCCCCTGGGTTTATCAACTCCCCGCCCCCTGGTGAGCAGGGGAGTAGATCTCCACTCCCTCCTGGTCCTCCTAGATCCCCAGCACTCCTCCCTGCACTGCATATAGGTGAATTTCTATCCGAACTTTAGAGAAAGGGGTGTCCCATCATTTTTACGGGGATACAGTGACAATTGACGACTTCCTTCTATATCGTCTTTAATCCATGCGGCATTTATTGGTGACATTTTTTTTGTAGTATTCTAATTACACCATTTACTAACGGTAACTCTTAGTTTTGGGATTTCTAAACTGTGATATGATATTTTTATGAAAAAAATATGTGTTCTTTATAATTATAAAAAGCTAGCATCTACTTCAGCACCAGATCCTGAAATGTACTGTATAACCCTGTTATTCAGCTAAATTGTACTTAATAGCCATGTTATCCAGCTTAATGTACTGTACCTTTAGTACAACCTGTAGTCCAGCTTAGAATACTGTTCACCTTGTTGTCCAGTTGAAATGTACTGTTGTGTATACCCTTCATATTCAGCTGTAATTACTGTATAACCATTTTATTCAGATGAAATGGACTGTATACCCCCGTTATCCAACTGAAATGTACTGTATAACCCTGCTATCCATCTAAAATGTACTTTATAACCCAGTTATCTTTCTGAAATGTACTGTATAAGCATATTTTCCATAGAGAATAGAATATATATTAGAGGGGAATTTACTAGAAAAAAGTGCAAAACGGCCATTTTGTTGTACTGTTTCCCTACTGCAGGTGTACTTCACATATTTATGCTATATAACCTTATGGGCCCTGGAATATCATTTTATAGAAAATCTAAAATTATTGTTGAAAGAAAACCAAATTATGAAATAGGCTGGTTTCATAATTGACCAATTATCATTTCACATAGACTCTATGCCTTCCACTTTACAAACGATGATTTTCCGTTATAACTATAAATCAAATGATGTTTTTTATTCACCTAATTCATTGTAAAGTTTATTTAACAGCTTTAAAAAATTCGAAATAGAAATGAATTGTGTAGGGAACATACTGTATTAATGTACTCTACTGCATATAATTTGTGAACATTTACATGATTTGTACACTTTGAACTCCCTTTCTGGCTGAAAGGGACAGAAAAAATTCATACCGAGATATTCTTTAAATTCCCCTCTAATATATATTCTATTCTCTATGATATTTTCTTGCTGAAATGTACTGTATAACCCCTTAATTCTGCTGAAATGTACTGTATAACCCCATGTTTAGACTCTGCTGACCCGAATGCTTTGATAACTGTTGAGGTGCTGCTGGTCAGCCCATCCTGTCCAACCCTGGAGTATAAAGAACATCTTAAAATAGTCAACGTTCAGTTTAATTCATTGGATATCATTGCCAATCAGGAAACTATAATAGAATTAATCGGATTTTCTCGTCGTGTGTTCCCTGAAAATTCTAGTGCCAGGAACGAATCCTTCGCTGATCTTGTGGAGCAGGAACCAGTGTACCCTGACCAGCCTTCAGAGCCAGGAACAGGTAGCTGCCACTGCAAATAGTGTATTTTGATAATGCACAGTGCCAAGTACAGTGTTGATGTTGTACACTGTACAGGGGTGTACATGTTCTCGTAAAAATCATTCAACCCCCCCTGTCTAGATAATTATTTTCCCATAAAAGTAATTTATGTTTTTTGTATAGCTTTACTCGCTGAATTGAGGAAAATAGATGATTTTTTATGTTAAAATCATCAAAAATTATTTTTAAAAACTTGCTTTTTAATTTCAACTCAAAATCATCAAAATCATTATCCCTCCACACCCCACTTAACTTTAATACATTACGGATTATGTACATTGTACAACTATGTTTAGATGTAAGTGTAAGAACTGAGGTTACTGCTGATTTTCAGCGTTTAAATCTCCTGCTGCTCCGGGCTGGGTCGGGAAAACGTATTGGAACAGCGCTATTAACAGATGCTAGGGAGGCAGATATCATTTCACAACTTTTTATGAAATATTTTTTGCTTTTTATTACAAATAGACTAGGGTCCCTAAAGGAAGGTTGCAAGTTTTGTATGTAATACAGGGACCCAGAGAACTGTAATATGAAGACGACATTTAAGCAAGTGTTTTTGATGTTTTTGTAAACCAAATAATTCCTCAGTTTCATGGGTTCCACAGTATGCACAAATGTAAAGATTGAATGTCATGTTAAAAGTGACCAATAAAAGAATAAGGCCCAATTTACAGCAGTGCCCTGAACAGCTTTTAACCCTTAGAAAATTCTTTAAACTAATTATTTAAATTTGTTGTTTCTCTGACTTACGCATTTCTTGCTTTTTTGAAGCAGTGGAGAAATTATCAGAAATAAACACTTTGTGTAAGAAAAACGACGGTATCTTTCACAGTTTTAATCAGATGTTTAGTTGTCAAGAATATTGTTGTAAATCGTGCAATGCATCCTAGCAGGGATGTTTGCTTTAAATTACGCGAACAGTCCATTTAATACATGGCGATGATGATATTTTTTCCGAGTAGAGTACAAGGCTCATTTTCTGATCGGGTTTCTGCCTCCGGGTCCTTGGGAGGTCTACAGATCATTAACCTTCTCTCATCCTCCCCTACTCATCAGGTAGAGTAGAGTAGGATTCAGATCCTTAACCTCATCTCATCCTCCCCCACTCATCAGGTAGGGTTGAGAGCACTATCACTTTAAGAAAGTGGCAGCAATATTCATTTAAAATGAAAGTGAGTTTCACTGTACAGTGTAAACTGTCCATTATACGCTTTTCAGTGCAGTGTACACTGAAAGTGTTAAGCCCGAAAATCCGCAAAGGTGATTAAAGTTCTTTCTTTTTTAGCCGCTTGAATAGAAGAAGGGAAAGGTCAAATTTATGCAACATTACTGGCCCGACTTTATTACCTTGTAGCTCCCCCCGTTTTGAGTTTAAGCATAACAGTATGAGAAAAGCAAATTTATTTAAAATTTATTTAATTTGGATTAAATTACGATTTTAATCTTAAGTGAAATATGCTTTTATAAGTTTGACGTTCTGAACTAAACAAATCCACATTTTAAAATTTTTTATATGTTCAGAGAATCTTGTCTGTTGGTCGGGAACCTTTAATTGGTCGAGGAGATGAAGCTAATCCACCTCTATATTCATCACATATGGTAAGTTTTAATAATGCGTGATTGATAAACTAATGAAGGATAAATGAATGGTAAGATGACTGAAAGATAAATGATCGATGAATTAATGAATGATAAATGAAAGGATGAGTTAATGAATGATAGATAAAAGGATGAATTAATGAATGATAGATAAAAGGATGAATTAATGAATGATAGATTAAAGGATGAATTAATGAATGATAGATGAAAGGATGAATTAATGAATAATAGATGAAAGGATGAATTAATGAATGAAAGATGAAAGGATGAATTAAGGAATGAAAGATGAAAGAAAGGATGAATTAATGAATGATAGAAGAAAGATAAATGATGTATTATCTATGAAAGATGTAATGCACAGTAGTATGAATTTATGATTCTATGAGATGAAGATCATGTACTCGAATTTTAAAACTTTATTTTGTCAAGTACGATTCTATTTCGTTACAAATGTAAATAAAATATCTTGATACATTTCTGGAAATTATTTTATTAAGGCCGTGCACAAATGTGATGGTCCAGAAAAAGCTAGTTTTAAAAAACGTCTGTTTTTTTCTGTAAATTAGTTAATGGTTTTTAATTATGTTTTTTGAAATTTCGATCAAGGATTTTTATTAGGATGAGAGCAAGCAGGCCTTCACCTTCAACATCAGGCAGCACAAGGAGGAGATGGAGGGAACGGAGGGGGTGGATCAGAGGATGGAGGATTCGCTCTCAGATTTTAACATGTTCAATAACCCCCCTGGTTTATCGCCGGCTTTCAGGTTTTTTTTATTCATTAGAATTTTCTTGTGACCTGAGTCCGACTTTAATAAATTTGAGCCGAGTCTCAAACAAAAACGGGTTTCAATTGAGCGCTGACTTAAATCTTGAAACATTGAATACAGTTTTTAAGTGGAACCAATCATATTTGAGCCGCGTCTCAAATTTAAGCTGCGGCTCAAATTCTTTAAATTCGGTCTTTGGGGGACAGAATTTAATGAATTTGAGCTAGGTTGCTTAGCTATCTACCGCTGGTTAAAATCCTTAATCATCGATTCATATTGATTTGAATTGGTGATTTAGGATTTGAACCGGCTGTAGGTAGTTCAGTGACCTCTCCATCTCCAATTCATTGAATTATTTTCTTATAAGGGTCTACATTCGACCTTAAAGGGACTGTTGGTAAGTTGTTGTAGGATGATGGTGCCTGGATCATAACTCTGTTCTTTAAACCTTTATTTTATCAACAATTTGGAAAATGTTTTTCAATCTGGAGTTTTTTTTCTTTCAGGCAAAAATCTGCATGTTATTTAAATAGAAAACCCAGAATTTAGCTTGGAAACAAGAATATCCCATTCACTCTTGATCATTGATAAAGATTTAACGGTTACCGTTGGGAATCAGACATGCCACTTTGTAAATGGAAAGTCACTTAAAATTAAGTCAGCAATCTCTTTTAGCTGTGACCAAATTGGAGAGGTCGCTAAACCACCTATTGCCGGTTCAAACCCGGAATTACCGATTCTAATCCTCATGAATCTTTGACTTTGATTTGGTTATTCAAGATTTAAACCGTAGGTAGTTTAGCTTCCTAGCTTAAATTCATCAAATTCCTTTCCTGTCAATCTAACTGTTATCTGTTCAGGAATTGTGTATCTGTTGAATTACAGATGTCGTCTGTAGTGTACACAAACTCATCACCTTTCCTCCAGGTAAAACGCGCGCGGCGAGAAAATGAGAAAAATATCGAGAAATATAATTTGAAAAAAAGGGATTAAAAAACTATGTTTTAGCCTGAATGAAATGTAATGGCTATTCTATATAAGTAATCTGAAGGGTCTGGAAGCTTATTGCTTAATCTTTAAGTCTGGAGGAATCCTTTTTAATTGAAGCGAGTTTTTGTCATAAACCTTTGATGATTCGATCTACAGGACAATCCTGAACTATCTTAGTACAGGGTGCACGAGGTTTGATAGACTAAGCCCTAAAAACACCCACAAGTAATTCTGCGCCTATTTATTTTTAGAAATTTTTAGAAATAACCACGTAAAACGTCTACAGCGTGATTCATAAAAATATCGAATGTGTATTTTATGTTTTTATAAAGCAATAGTTTTACCAGTTGCTTCAAAATCATCTTATTAAACAAAATGGGTCCGGTCAGTGTTTTATGTTCCTTCGTCTGTATAAAACAATGGTGTTCTTATTTCACCATTTTGTCAGGCCCCGCTGGAAGATTTTAAGATTCAAAATGGCTGCTCTATTAGATTAACTATATTGTTGTACGTTCTCTATGTACGGTGCACAGGAGTTAAATTGTTATTCCTCGGATTTCAATAGAGTAAAAATAACTATTTGTAGCATCTACATCGGGATTTTGATAAACTTATTGAATATAAAGGCGATATTTTAACATCTTATGTGTATTTTATGTTTTTACAAAGCAATAGTTTTACTAGTTGCTTCAAAATCATCTTATTAAGCTAAGTTGGTCAATGTTATATGTTCCTTCGTCTGTATAAAACAGTTGTGTATCTATTCATTAATTTTTAGGCCCCACTTTAAATTTGAAGACCAAAATGATTGCTCTATAGATAAACTATATTGCTTTGTTGTACTTTTACGTTGTACTGTGTACAGGAGTTGAATTGTTGTGCCGCAGATTTCAAGAGATGTATGGCCAACCTGGCGAGCTCTATCACACAGGCTGCTGCAGAGATGGCACTAGGTAATACAGAGACCTAAACTTAAGAAAGAGTAGAAACCCAGTATCTTTATATTCTCTTTTTGTTTTCTAATTTCTTAAATTCAAATCTACGCAATTAAGACATAAGATACACTTAGGGTGGCTCGTTGAAATACAGGGGTTAATAGAAGACAATGTAATAGAATATAGTAATTGTTTATATTTATTGTTTATATTGTACAAGCATATATTAATTGTTTATTTACTCTCAGGGTGGCCAAAATGTACGGATTGTACGGATTGTTTTTTTTAACCCTAAAATTGTACGGATTGTACGGATTGTACGGATTTGTTTTCAAATTGTACGGATTGTACGGATTTTTATCCTGGAAAATACACCGTTTTTTTAAATTTTCACTCATTTCAGCAAATTTTTCATGAAAATTTAAAAAAAAATTCTCGTCAAAATGAAGTTAGTTTAACTTATTTTCTGCATTCTAAATAATATTAGATTGATTAATGTTTCAATTGACAATCAAAATTCATTCATAATTTTCGAGATATGTCCAAGAAGTGTTTATTTGAGAATATGTTCCATAAGTACTTATTTGATTGCTTATTCAAGAAGATGTTCCAGTATCCTGTACCCAGTATCCT